CTTCCTCTCGCAGGTCTCTCGATCTCACTTGGTTTCCCTCTCGCACTCCGGCAATTTCTCTCTTTCTCTCTTCCCTGTCTGTTGTGATCGTTGGGCAGTAGCGCCGTCGCGGGGAGGTGGAGGTTGCACCTTTTGCCGCATCTCGGAATCTCGCGCGTTGCTCATTTGCCGTACATAGGAGAGGAGAAGAGAGGCAAGGAAAGCGGGAGTGCGAGAGCAGCCAAGAAAGAGAGAAAGAGAAACCTCCGCTAGGTAGTAGTATGCGAACAGTACGGTGGTCGGACAGTTCCAGTTCCGTTTCGATTAGGCGAGACTACGCTGGGGTTTTTGGCTCGCTTGTGGCCCGTGAAACGTACGCGTAATGCCGTTTATCGTGGCCATTGACGGCACTTGGTGCTGCTGCTGGTGCTGTTGCTGTTTACCCGGCGCGCTAACTGCACGCCGCTTTTACAAGAGGAACTGCATAGTTGAAGAAGATACGAAGTGAACCAACTTCGTGAGTGTTCAAAGGATAGCTTACGTGTGGCGTTTGGATCGTTCGATACGACTTGGTGATTATGCTCATAGAAGGGTCAAGTCGTGAGGCATAGAGGAGTGTACTGTAAAATCCGCATGTCCCGATTCACTGGGTTCGTATATGTTACTACTTCCCATGTAACCTCCTTGCTTACGCACACTAACGCAAGCGCACATAGCAAAGCTAACTTAAAGGCAAATCGCTGCCGGAGAAACGATTCCCCGGCCCTCTAGCCCAGTTCCGGGCACAGACATTGATCCATCGATAAGGAAGTTTCCTATCTTTTGTTGGATTGCTGGCATGTTCAGTAAAGTGCAAGAAAGTGAAACGAATCACCCGTAAGCCATAAAATCCTTACCTTTGTAATTCATCGTTATCCTAATTTAGATACACATAAGTTTTCTGCATTGCAATAGGCATAGGTTTCGATATTTGTAATCTATGTGTGACTGTAATTTAAATCGAATTTCGATTCTTCATCTTCTTACTTCTACTTCGTAGTATTTGTGATGAAGCAAGGATGAGCGTATACCATGAGTATTACGTTAAAGCTTCACACGTCTGCTGTTATTTTCAAACAATCTTGTTACTCGATAATCTCATGGAGGAAATTATATTTATTCATATACTACGATTGTACATATCTGCTTACACTTGTTTCCCTAAAATTCAATATGATTTTAGACATTTAAATAAAATTTGAACATAAGTTTTAATTTCTAATATTTCGAAGACGTGATATTTTCATAAAAATTGCGCTTTTATTTTTTTATTATTTGTATCTTGATTTTTATTAATTATTAATACAGTACAATTTTAAGTACATACAGTTTTAATATATTTCAGTTAATTTAAGTATTCAAGGATATTATTATTGTTGCTTTGTTTATATGCTTTATTTGGCTCTTTTTCTTTACTTTGATAAAATTTAAAAAATCTCATATGAAGATAGCAAAGTATTACATTTTCAATAAGATGAAAACATACGTATATAAGTAGAATGCAAGTGTTTCTTTTATTCAATAAATATATTGCAATTTTGTGATACTCAAGGTTACATGCTCTTGCTTATATTTACGATTATCGTACTAATATATTATATATCAAATGCGTACACATTTAATGATTAATGAACGATATGAATTTGAGTACATCGGAAATTTTGAAGTGTGAAAGAAATACTTCTAATACTGGCGAATAAAATGAAGATGACAGAAGTGTAACCTTATAAACGATTCATCTATATTTACAATGCCTTGTGGCAGCAATACTTTTAATTATAATAACGTGTGCACATCAGTGACAGAGCGTGGAATTCGAACGTGTGCGTTCCGCCTGGCAAACGCGCAAACGCGTGACCGCGTCCATGAGAACTTACCATTAATCCGGGTTCTTAACCGCGCGCGGAGTAAACGTGGCTGACACGCCGCCGATGATAATAATAAGAGTGCGTAATTTATCGAAGAATCGACGTCACAAATCGGATGACGTATGTGTCGTCGCGGTTATCGTTGTTGTTCATTGAAGGCAGTTTGCCTAGCGGCTACATTTGGTGCGTATGCAGAAAAGTATGTACGATAGGAAAGCCAGTTAACTATCCGACTTGACCAGAGTTCGGATATGAAACAGTGAGTAAAACTGCCCCCTTGCGGAGCGCGTCCGTGGTTCCCAATCTAACCACTCCTCTGCCATCGAGTTCTTACCTCCTACCCCCCTTCTGTATCTCCCATTCTCTCTGTTTCTCTACTTCCACCCCCTCTCCATTTTCCATCGCCTTTCCTCTTACCTCTTCTATAGCTCTGTAACTCCCTGCCCTTCCGTCGTTCCCCTCTGTTAGGGTCCTCCATTTTGTCGTGATTCCTCTAGCTCTAAACATATATTGGACATTTTGTTCATACTGTACTATTGTCATTTGCATACAAATTGTGCGCGGAACCGTGCCTATGGTTGACATACTGTCTATTAGCTCAAATAGCAAATACGACTATGGGGCTCCACCATAGGCTATCCTGGAAGGTGTCACTTCTCTCTCTTTCTCTCCTGCACTGTCTTTTTCATTCTCTTCTTTCTCTTTTCATTTCCCATTGAACCTACTTCTTTCTCCTTTGGACATCCTTTGTTTTTCTTTTTTCTTATTGGTCTTTCTCTATCCTAAGTTTCCTTCTGTATAATAAATCGTGTCTTAATAACATGCGATTTTTATAATCTAGTATTTTGTACGCCGGTATGATTTTCGAAGTGTAACCTCTACTGAAAGTAACGAATCTTGATTCGCGTTGCGATATTTTTCTCCATGTTGTTTCTTCTAGGAGGTTTATATTAAATTTTGCGATATAAATAATTGTACGAAATAATAGCTTTTACTCTGTATGGTAATATTTTAATAACTATTATTTTAATTTACCATCATAATGGTCGTTTCTCTATTTTGTTGAAGTATCTGCAAATAAGAATATTTCGGCTATTATTTTATATCAATATTTTTTTCTCTTTTTTTCATTTCAGATGTCTGCTGGGTCACAAATTCAGATGGCACCTCAATCAACTGTAAACTCTGGTCAGTCAGTTCATAGTCAAGACTCGAACATGAGCACTGGTAAGTCAGTATATTTTTATTTTATTTAATGATAAAGACAAACTTCCACCTAATAAGTAAATTAAAAATAGCAAAAACATTTTATAAGCTTGATTATTTTGCAATAACTAGGCTCATCACATAGTGATAAGGAGGTAGATCCAAATACTCCAGAAAAGGTACCAAGAACTCCTTCGGAGAGGAAAAGGAAACGTAAAGCTGACGATGGAGGTGGGGGAATTACTGGGGGACCTATAGGAAGCAAGGGGTCTAGATCTGTTGCTGCTCTTGAAAATAAAAAAATAAATGAGTATTTTTCAAAGCATCATTTGGGTAATAGCCCCATTCGGCATGGGGGTGCTAAAAGTCCTTCACCTCAACAGGGATATCCTATGGTAAATATAAAAAGTATACATATATAGATACATAGACATACACTACTTATATCATTTCTAACAGAATTTTTCATTTCCATAATATAATTATGACTCTGTAACTTTTTCCTTTACATCCTTTCTGATATTTTGTGTAATTATTTTTCAACAGTATCCACCATCGCCTCAACAACTCCTTTCACCACAAGTAACAACACCCAATTCTTCAGTGGCAGAATTTTCTTCACTGATGCAGCCGCCAAGACCTCATCCTCAACCTCCACCTCCTCCTCCACCAGCCTCAACACAACCTGCAGGCTCGATGGTCAGCAAGCAGGTGCAGGTAAGGCCTACCAACCTCAGTAGGACAAGCCAGGTCAGGCAAGCGAAGACTAACACCCCAAATGTAAGCAAAATTCGGTAATTCCTGCAAGCATTTTATAAGAAACGACCCATAAAAATCTTGGCTATAAATAGTATAATTTTTTGTTCAAATTTTTAAAATTTCTTCATAAATGGTAAAAAAGTTATATAATTTAAACTAAAAATTTGATCTTGTGTGTTCATGTAGCAAATACTTAACCATAATTTAGGAGTAATAACTATGTAAGAAATTTTATGTATCTAGAGCATACAAATATTCAAAATTAATTTATTTATCTCTCAAAAAATAACTGCATTCCTTTGTAATATCATTTTTTTTTCATTAGAAGATATCTTATTTACAAATATTATTTACTCCTTTTATTTCACGTTTTACATTTTTCTTATTATCTCTTATTGCAACTTGGTATAAGAGAGTACATTTTATACATTTTTATATACTTTAATTTTCTAAAATTAGTTTCGTAATGGGCATTTCTTGTCAGATGTTTGTAGTAAATTTGCAGCTAACTTCTGACTGGACTGTAGCGCTGTATCCATTTGTTATCATAGGAGTGCAGGCTACCTTGTAATGTCACTCCTTATTTAATAAATTTTGTTTTGCTTTTAAGTCATTAAAATTGTTTATTTCCATTTATTTCAATTTCTAAATTAAAAATAGGTGTGCATGTTTGCCGTCTTTGACTTGGTATTTGGCTATAGTCTTATATTTCAAAACTGATAAAATTAAAAAAAAATTGTTTTATAGTGTACAATGTATCAATTATTATAGAAAAAAATATGTATAAAATATACAATGTCCTACAATTTTTTACATGCATACCTTAAATCATGCATACATTTTTGGTGTTTTCCTTGCTGCCTGTGTGGTAGTTCTGTTCTATCTATATGTTTGGGTTTTGCTCTGTAGTTTTACTTTTAATAGCAAAAGGGCTGGCCTATTAAATTAAATAACGTGTAGAACTAACTTTATTACAAATTTCTATCAAAGATGGAACTTTGATCGTTTTTCTAAATGAAATTATCAAAAATTGCACTAAAACTGAAACTGCATGTTACATCCATTTGGGTGCAACAAGGTATCTGGTATTTATGAACTATGTTGACAAATGTATCAGATGTTACAGTAGTTTGTTTGTATTTATTATAAAATGTGTTATTTACATTTCAGACAGAACTTACTTGCCAGAGGATACAAGAATTTGAAACTCAAGCCTCTTCAGACTTAGAATTACGTAACAACAAAATTGATGAATTAAATAGAGTAAGTAAAATAAATTCTGAAATGTGCTATGAGTGTAAAATTATACATTAGCAGTAGAAATAGAATAGGGAAAGCATCTAGTTCTCTTTCTCTTTCCAAAAAGAAAAATGCATAAAAAGTAAAATATTTTTTAATGTTTTTATTATTATTTATTATTATAATAAGATTTATTAGTATTTGTATTTTCATATAATTAACAGTACATATTTTCTTTTTCAGACAACTGATGAACTTAGGCATCAAATGGCTAATCAACAAAAATTAATTGAACAGCACAAATCTCATATAAATAAGTGTATAGATGTTGTAAAGAAGCTACTAAAAGAAAAATCAAACATAGAAAAAAAGGAGGCTAGGCAAAAGTGTATGCAAAATAGACTGAGGTTGGGTCAATTTGTAACTCAAAGGGTGGGTGCAACGTTTCAAGAAAATTGGACGGATGGTTATGCGTTTCAAGAATTAGCTCGACGGCAAGAAGAAATCGCAACTGAACGAGAAGAAATTGATAAACAAAAAAAGCTACTACTCAAAAAAAGGCCATCGAACAGTGAAACTGGTAGGAAACGTAGTCAGCCTCAACCTTCTTTGCATAATGGCACAGAAGCTACATTCTTAAAGCCAGATGCAGTACCTGGATCTTATACGTGGCAAGAGTATTATGAAGCTGATGAAATACTCAAGGTAGCAAAGTTTTCAGATTGTTATTTGCAATAAACCTAATTTTGACATAATCTCATATATGTATTGTCTTTTTAGTTAAGACAAAGTGCGTTGAAAAAAGAAGACGCTGATCTGCAATTAGAAATGGAAAAACTCGAAAGAGAACGAAACTTGCACATTAGAGAACTGAAACGTATTCACAACGAGGACCAATCGAGATTCAATTCTCATCCTGTATTGAATGAACGTTACCTTTTATTAATGTTGTTAGGAAAAGGTGGCTTCAGCGAAGTGCATAAGGTATAGAAACGAAATTATTAATTTCAAAGTAACATTTGTTTTAGTAAACAATTAATTAATTATTTTTTAAGTATTTCGCTTTTTACAGGCATTTGACTTAAAAGAGCAACGATATGTCGCTTGTAAAGTGCATCAACTAAATAAAGACTGGAAAGAAGATAAGAAAGCTAATTATATTAAGTAAGTACTTTTATAATGAAATTTTTTATTTTGGAATTAAGCAGTTTAATTAATTAATAAAATAAAAGTAATTACAGTTTCGCAACAAAATACATATTTGAAATAATACCAGTTTTAATTATACATAAGTGACATTAATTATTTTTATATAAGGATATATTTTTACATTGTTTTACATCTATATATATATATGTATATATATAACTTGGCTGTTATATATGTATATATGTATATATTTTTTTATTCTTTATGCAGGCATGCGTTACGAGAATACAATATACATAAAGCTCTTGATCATCCTCGTGTTGTGAAATTGTATGATGTGTTTGAAATTGACGCCAATTCTTTTTGTACTGTCTTGGAATATTGTGATGGCCATGATTTAGATTTTTATCTTAAGCAGGTGTGTGTATTAACGTATTTTTCACATAACATTTATTATGTATTACTGTAATTAAATATTTTATTAAATATGTTCAGCATAAGACTATACCTGAAAGAGAAGCAAGATCTATTGTTATGCAAGTTGTATCTGCATTAAAGTACCTCAATGAAATAAAACCCCCAGTCATACATTATGATTTAAAGCCTGGTAAATTTCTATTGTATATAACTTATGTTATTTTTATTATATAAAGTAAAATTTTAAATTATATACTATTATTGTTGTAATTTTGCAGGTAATATATTATTAACTGAAGGTAATGTTTGTGGAGAAATAAAGATAACAGATTTCGGATTAAGTAAAGTAATGGATGAGGAAAATTATAATCCAGACCATGGAATGGATTTAACATCTCAAGGAGCTGGTACCTATTGGTATGTACTTCCTCGTTTTAGAGACATACTTTATGATATTAGGAACATTTTTATATTTTTCTATGTTAAACTTGATTAGTAAAATGCATATTTTATGTAGGTACCTTCCACCAGAGTGTTTTGTTATTGGTAAAAATCCTCCAAAAATATCATCGAAAGTTGATGTTTGGAGTGTAGGAGTTATATTTTATCAATGTCTATATGGCAAAAAGGTATAATGACTATTATACTATAGTAACTATATAACATTGATTTGCTATTAGATTAACATTGAAGATCTACATTTTAAAAACTGTTTTTAGCCCTTTGGACATAATCAATCTCAAGCAACAATTTTAGAAGAGAATACAATTTTGAAAGCCACTGAAGTTCAATTTGCAAATAAACCAACTGTTAGCAACGAAGCAAAGGTACCCCATTTTAGTATCAATTCATATGAATTAGAAAAATTTAAGTAATTGTCAATATGAAAATAAAATCTTAAATTTATTCGTAAATGTTTTTACTTTCACAGAGTTTCATAAGAAGTTGCCTAGCATATAGGAAAGAAGAGCGCATAGATGTGTTGACATTAGCTAGACATGAATATCTACAACCTCCAGTGCCAAAACATGGCCGTCAAGCGAATAATCAGCAACAACAGCAACAACAACAACAGATTCAGCAGCAGCAACAAACCACATTTAATATTGGCATGTTTAGTGGTATGAACGCGTCAAGCAGTTCGTAGTGGAAAAAAACTAAAGACAAAATCTTCGATATACTAATACATGCCAAATCTTGAACATTGAATTGCACACCATCTCATCTTAGGAACATAGCGGTTGCTATAACGAATTGTAAATACTAAAAACCGGATAATATCACCATCACCAATGCCACGATTACCACTACCACTACCACTCCACTACCACTACCGCCATCACTACCACTTCCACCACACCTTTACAACTATACTTACAGGCCAACTACATAGGACATTGCAAGAGAGATGCGAGACTGGTCGTCGCAAGTCCAGAAGCTTGCGTCTTTCTACAATACAAGCTACATTATTCAGCATGACAAAAATGTTGTGTTCGTAAATATTCAATTGTATTATCGTTCCTTGTATCAAACAGTGGGCTGACTTGATAATAGTGTTTAAAAAGAAATGAGAGAAACAGATAAACATGTGATAAGTCATTGTGAATTAAAGTGAAGTTCAAATTAAGAAGAAAAGGAAACAAAGGAGTATAGCGACGGAAATCATTACAAGTGAAAATTACTCGGTGAAAATAAAGAGAGCAACGGAAGATAAAGTATCCGAGGCAAAGCGCGTCAAAGCAGTGTAGAGGGACTTTGCTTTTATGGAGACGTTCCTCTCTTCTGAAGTTACGTATGGATGAATGAGTGTGACGAAAGATTGTTAAAACTAGTGTGCGTGTATATATTTATACTATATATATATATATACTAATAAATCCGATATAATATATATATATGGTGTAAAGAACAGGACAGCATTGACAGTGGAAAGACAACTGTGGTGGATCCTCGCATGACCTCCGTGCAGCCAAGTATTCCATGAATATTTGACTGCACATCATGTTACTTTATTCAAATATTAACATTATTACTTATATCATGACTAATAACGATTAACATACACACACGAGGAGATTTGGTTGGTTGTTCCTATTCTGAAATGAGTGGGCTTATCTACACCGGATTGATTGGTCTAAGGTTCGAATGCAAAGAAAGTAAAAGAATCGCGATGCTCCCAAATAAAAAAAGAACATACAGAATCGCAGTCCACGGTTTATATGCTCCATGCACATGTACATTTTTAATCCATGATTTTCTAATAGAGTGATTCATTTTTTTCTAGAGTGGACTTCGGCGCGATAATTATGATCTTACATTTTCGTGATATATAACAATTCTTATAATCAGGCATTAAAAGTTTTTAAAGTAAGATTCATGATACTGTACCGACCTGGTTGCTATTTCTTTATTCATAATTTGTTTTATATATGTACGTTATATATAGATAATTATGAAATAGAAGATTAAGTTATTTTATCAAGTGCCCTTGCTTTGTATTATAGTCGCGTCTGTCGACAACCTGCAGCTTTTGGGAGTACTAGAAAGTTGTTAAAATGTTGTAAGTTGTTGGTACAATGTGGGCACGGTATTGGTTGATAAATCAATACCAACGTGATTGGCAAAGAATGGTCAGAGGAGAATACATTACAAGTCTGAACAGAGTCTACTACTAGATCCATCGCTTCTATTCTAAAAGCCAACCGTTCCTGCTTCCCTCTCCTATTTCTCTTGCGGTTTTCAAATTTATTAAACAGGAAAGCGTATACTTTTAAAATTCCTCTACGAGGAAGTGCTTTTTGTAAACTAAGTTCGAAGACAAACTAGTCAGAAAATGAATAAATTCATTTACTTTTTCTCCGAGGACGGGTATGCATAATTGTCAAATTTGAAAATTTTCAATTTTTCGGTATATTTATATAATCATCGTTTTCATATAATTAAAAAATTAACTGTAATCGAGCAAAAATTCCCTAATTCAGAAATTTTGCTTGAACATAATGATTAAAATAATCGCGATTAGTTTTATTATATTTTAATATATTTATTATAGTTTAAAATGACAATTGGTGCATACTATTCTTGGGCAAAAAATAGCATATACTTTGGCCAGTAAAATTTACGAAAAACACTTCTTTTAAAAAACAGGGATATCGTTCTGCTACCACAACAAATTGCTACCAGGAAAAGATTAAATCATTTAATAAGACGTCAAACTGATGAAAGAACGAAAAAAAATCATTTAACGAGCATTTATTCTATGAAATCTCATTTGGGATTATTTGTAATGATAAAAAATGAAACAAATCTGCACCAAGCAGTGTTTATATGTTTTGCGATAGAAGCAATTTTGCATTTGTATATAGTGAAGACTCCTTAAAAATGCATCGTTAATAAAACTATTAAATGCATATATCGAAAACAAATTTTTATCCAAGGAATAAGATTTTTTTCATAGAAAATTCATTGCACAAATATTCAAATATTGCCTGATCAGATATATTCTTTAAAAACTACGGGTCAACTTGAAAAGAAAAGCATTACATAATAATATTTCCTGCTCTATGTGCTTTTATAACTATATGCATGCTAGAGTTTGGAGTATTATTATGCATTTTAAAAAAAGAGGAATTTAAATAATTCTTTAATAAACAAAGTTTTTTTTTATCGCCCTTGCGTGTCAGCATAGTCACGATCTTCCTCATAAACAACAGGAATTGCGTCGAGGATGCTGTATGAAACGTTATAGCAATAAATTTACGTATTTGTGTATAATTTAAAGTTAGTAAACTTATTAATTAAATATGAATCACATATAACAGTGTATATTTCTCCTACAATACATATGTGTGGATATAAAATTATTTTCTTTCATTAGGTAAATTTTTGAATAGGAATATAATATAAAATATTATTTCCATTGAATTTGATTAGAATATTTGTATATAAAGAACAAAACATAACTTTTTACTTATACTTAACTTTAATTATAGTATAAAATTATGTTATGTTATCGAGTAAATTCTATAAATTTCAAGAAGTATATACATACACATACTGAATGATCTGCTGAAAGATTTTAATCATTCTAGTCTCAAGGGCTTTTATGGGATTTATCGAATTTTAAAGAATCATGAAATCAAATTCCTTTTTTTCATTAATAGTTTTAAGCCTGTAGTATAATGTATTGAAAGATTTGTTACAAAATTGGCAAAATTAAGAAAACTATAAATGTTTATAAAGTACAATACAATTATTACATAATTCCATTCTGAACAGTTACTTATAATACACTTTTTTCAAACCCGTATTTTTCAATCATACAGTTCAAAAAACTCAAAAGTTATTCATTCGGTTGATTTGATATCTTGTGATGATATTTATATATACATGAAAAAAACAAATCACTTTCATAATCTGTAATTTCATTGACTATTAGCATATTGACAATAGCATACAAATTTATTTAGTTCAAGAACAATTTGATTTTTAAAACAAAACAATATTTCAAGAATTATGCCATTTATATGTTCCTCGTATTTTTTCGCTGCCTATCGATCCTTTTGATTCTTTAAACATTAATTTTATTTTTATACCTACATCTTTATAAAGAAAATCAACTAGTGAAAACTTAGGAGATTGCATGAACTTGTTTTGACCTACTCATTTATTTTGAAATTTTTGTGTTCAATGATGTATTCATTTCTGTTTCATGTGTTTGAAACGTGCGCTTAGAATTTTTGAAAAAATAGTTCCAATGGAAAATATTTTAAATAAAAACTGTCTGTTTTTTAATGTAAGTTTTCATTTGGAATTTTTAAATCAATTTTATTTCATCCCGTACAATAAAATATTAGATAATAATAATTCAACATATTAAAATGCTTTGGCACCTATAAAATTTAAAGGTAGAGCAGCTAAAATTATTAGCTGCACATTACATTATTCCTAAAAAAAAAGCGAATAACTTTTATATCATGTAGTTTCACTATTCTATGCCCTCTTTTATTGAGAACAAATGTAGTGGTATAGTAGAACAAACGAATAATATCCGTATTAAGAAAAAAAGAATTAAAATAACTTTAATATTCAAAGATTATTTTTAACAATATTTAAATATTGTAAATTAAAATTTTAACATGTTTAGTAACATATATTGAAAAGGAGATTTAATATTCTCTTTCTTTATGTATTATTTGATTAATTAGATCATTTATCTTTATTAAAATTTGTTCACAGAATATAGATAATTAATCGTACGAATGTGCTAATTAATACAATTACCTTCATATATTATGGTAAGTACATTATTTATTAATGATATGTCACAGCTAGATGTCTGTGAAAAATGTGTTTTGTTCCAAAATTAATCCAACATACAAAAAGAAAAAGTAAATAAAAACAAATTTAAGTTAATTAATATAACGAGTCTTAATGTTTAAATTAATAGTCTATCCGTATTATAAATACAAAAATTTCATTACTGTCATATGTTTGTGAATCTCTACATTTGTAGTTATTAAGCATACACAGAACATCAATTATATTTTTCATTCAATACCAATACTATTAATAGAAGGTATGTGATCAGTAGTTAATATGTGTAATAGTTAATACGTGACTAAGTGTTTTATGAAGATGAACTAAATTTTTCATTCTATATATATACATTATTATTACAATAACAAAAGTTTCTCTTAATTGATACTGAGTTTTGCAACAAATCACACATTATTCCATTTCCAATGAGCTGATATTCTAACATGTGCAAAAATATTTTATTAATTTTTTTTACAAAACAATGAGTATTTAAATATCTTTCTCCAGAAAATTAACATACAGAGATAGTATAGATATTTTAAAATTGAATATTATTTAAATATTTAGATACTCAAATGTTATACAGTCAGTCATGACTCAAATGTATTATCGCATTGCACACTATGCATATATTATTTAATTATCACTGTAAAATGTAATTTTCTTAAAATATTCTAATTTATATATTCTAGTATATGTATGTACAATATCATATAAAATTATTGTATTGCCTTGATCTTAATGAAGGCAAAATCTGTTAAAATTTATATCAAATGTGATCACACAGATCGTGATTAAGATCGTGTTTATTTGCTTATGCCTTTAAAATATTGTACAAAATCGATCAGTTGGAATCATCCTCATCATCATCCGAAACTGCGTATGAAACAGGTTTACGAGCACGACAGGCAGTTTTTCGTGGTGGTACCGGAGAACTATCTACTGCACTAGGAATACTTTCTTCCTCCGACTCAGACTTCTTCTTTCTTTTCTTTACCTGTATAATTAAATAATTTTTGTGCAATTAAATAGCAAATGAATTTAAAATACTGATAAATGTCTTTTTGCGTTATTTTTTCGTGATATGTCATAAATTTTTATCAATAGTTTTTATTTTGTTATTATCAATTGCATTGTTACTTACGGGAGCTTGTTTATTTGAAAACATAACTTCCTCCGAGTCTGAATCGGAAGAAACAACTTTTTTCTTTAACTGCCTTTTCATTGCCTTTCCACCATTTTCAGTTTTCTTTTTAGCCGGAGCTAAAACATAAATAATGAGGCATAATATTAGTGACATTGATAGCTATAATATTACTGAAGATATAAATTAATGACATTGTATAAAATATTTTGTAAATATGTAAACACAAACTAAGAATACCAAATGTAATATTTTGCAATTAACAAAGTATTGAATACTTTACCTTTCATCGGAGGTGAGAATATTGAAGGTGATTCTTCGCTAGATGCTGCAGGAGCTTTTGTTGATTGCTTTTCTGGAGTACTACCAACTAATGAATCAAAAAGTTCTTCCGAACTAGCTATTATTTGAACAGAGATATAATTATAACTATTATAATTTTTATATGAAATTAGCGTATCAATATAACAATATAATTAATATGTTAAACTAATAGTCCATAACAGTAACATTTACTTACGTTTCTTATGTATTTTGAGAATATCATCAGAATCGCTATTAATGACAGCTGTAGTAGGTTTTGTTTTACTAAAAAATAAATTTAATGAGTATATATTGCTTATGTATGCATATATAACGTTATATAATTATAAATAAAGTACTCACTGCTCCATGTCTGAAGAAACACTGAGTATTTCATCACTAGAAGAAGATTCTGCACTACTATAGTTGTAATTCTTTTTAGCTGTAATGTCGAAAACAAACTTCGTAAATATTAGCATATTAAAAATATACATAAATTTGACAAATATCAAATGGAAATTAATACCTGCTGCTGCTCTACGAGATGTACGAGGTGCTGGAGGAGGAGAAATACTGCCGAAATCAATATCATCATTACTATCAGAATCTTTATCTTTCTTCTTGTCGTCTTTCTCTTTTTTCGCTTTGGACTTAAATTGTAATGTTGTTTGTTTCAATCCTAATCAATATAGTAAATGGTTATTATTGATAAATTTCATAGAATTTTTTATTTTATTATAACTATGAGCATATATACTTTTTTTGCCACCAGCTTTTTTTTCTATCTTTTCTGGAGAATTGCCCAATCTATCGTCTATAGGTTTGGTATTTGATTCAATCAACACGTCAAATTCATCTTTATCTTCTATCGGTTCTTTTTTTACCTATTATGTTACATAAAACGTTATATTATATTTCCGCAAAAAATATAGAAGCGATTTTATTAAAAAAAGAAAAGACTTAATAACGTGTACTCCATTTACCCTTTGATGTTTCTTTATACCCTCCTTTTTATCCTTAGATACAATTTCTGCTTTTTCAATCTTTCTTTTTAATTCAGTATCAATTATGGGTACTATTCGACGAATATCATCAGAAGTGTAATACTTTGAGGGTGGTTTTTTAATACATTGTTTAGACTTCTGCTCTTCTTTTCGTTCTTTTTCTTCTAACTATAGTAAAATATAGTATATATGAGAAAAATTAAATATTATCTTATTAAAAATAAAAAGAAGTTACGCTTACTCTATTCAATTCATTCAACAAGTTATCTAAATCCTCTTTCCATAAAGAAATAGGTGTACGAGCTTGTAACCTTTTCAATTCTGCTAATTTATCGTCTTTTTGGCGTAATAGTTCATCTTTCTTTTCCTTCGTTAAACACCACAATGTCATTCCTAGTAAATAATCGAAGTTCTCTTTTCCAATAGCTGTAGATGATGTAGCTGATTCTTCATTAACATTTTCTGCTACTTCTTCCTATCAATATATTAAAGAAATTTGCATATTAAATATTTAGAGTAAAATAAAAATTATAGTTGTAACAAATGTTTTTGTTTACATAAGTTTCTTTTTATTACTTACTTGAGCTTCCTAATGTAGCATAACAATTAAATTTTAATACATTTCAAATATGTTGTTTTAAAATAAAGACGCAATACTTACTAAAACTTCTTCCCTGTTTTGTGATAACTTCCAAGCCAAGACTGGATCAGATTCATATTCTCGCCTAATTAATTCAGCAATCATATCTTTCCTTTTTTTATTTTCTATTACTATAGTACCATCACATTTTTCTAGAATGAATCGTGCTTGATTTGAAAGTTTAGATGCCTCTGCTTGTAATATACCTTCTAAATATTCTTTTCTTTTATGATACGTTTCTAACCTTACTTTATAGAAACCTTTTAAAATCTGAAGAACACTATCATATTTTTGTAGACATAGATTCTCATCAAAAGCACACTGCAAAAATGAATTTATTATAAATGAGTTTGAGTTTTAAATACCTTTAATATATTATTTGCCTTTTACCATAGATGTAACG